TGTAACATTTTCGCTCTAAATTTCACTAAAGCTTTAAATGACAGTTGCTGGTCTAGGGACAGTTTTTGTTTTATAGATAAATTCGTGCCCATCCATTTCCTAATTTAGTCAGTAGTTTAGTCAGACTGTCTTGGTAATGATTTTGCTTTTACTCAAAATAATTACACAGCACTTTGGAGTTTGTGCCTCAGCATACTTCTTGCGAAGGGAAATTCTCAAGGGTTGCGCGAAGCCGGAAGTGCCTTCGCGAACTGACAAGCTCACATACTTCCTGCAGTTTCGTGTGTCACGGATGCTTCACCAATGCAGGTGATGCTATGACTTTTTATAATAAATTCCAGTAGTGGAAAACGATTCGATCACAGTTCTAACGTGCGAGTCCAGAATACTGTCAATATTTAAGGTGGAATGGGGAAACATCAGCCTCGTCCTCTTGTGAACCTAAATATAAGATACTAGTTACTACTACTTAGTACTACCGAATAACAGACTTAACATCTTACATTTAGGAGGTACTCATGGTTTATTTACCAAATGCACATTTCACAGTGAAATACTGGTGTCTGCCAAAGCTCTTAGCATGCTTCTTGCGAAACAAAGCTCCTCAAAGTCGTCCATCTTTGTTTCATGGCACACCTCTTTTTTACCGACCAATCACAGCCTTTGCTGCGTTGAGTCTTCGTCTGCAGAGTTCGCCCAGCTGCCATGTGCACGACATTGTGAACGAAGCCTCCACATGACGTCTGAGATTGTTCTTTTTTTTCCGTAATTACGACACAGTGGTTACTACCTAGAACTATAAAAGTGTAAAATGACAGTGTTATGGAAGTGGAAAGAACTAGGGAAATCAGGTGCGTCCAAACTATCAATTGGTAATCAGCACACAGTCAGAAAATAGGCTCTGTGCAGGTACAATTTTCCTTCATTAAGGTGTAAGTAAATGTATTTTCTAGGGTCCAACTGTGTACCGTAAATAGTGTTTTTCCAGGGTAGAGGTACATATTTGTAAATTTTTACCTAAAACCTAATGTTTTGAAACAGAAGCATAAAATAGAAAAGCTAAAGACAAGACTCAATGCAACTTAATGTCATTTCAATGGATTATGGTACAATTTTATTCCCGAACAAGCGGCAATGAAAATGTACCTTTGAGGAGACCACCCCATGGACGAGAAAGTAGCCGCCCCCTCCCCCCCAGTGACAGTTTGGTACTTTGTACAAAGACGGTAAATGTTATTAGGAAAGCCAGTAAAGAGACTGTTACAGTGAAAGACTTGCTGGTGAAAGCACTGATAAATGCCGGTCAGTAGGAAGCGTGTTCCTGTCCAGAATGGGTCACTGGTTCAGATCCAGTTCTAGGCAGACTTTTGTTACATATGTATTAGTATGTTTAAGATTTCCTCAAGCAAGACGTTCATTTGCATATCAAACTTCACAAAGTTGCTGAAACCAGCGGCAGACATTCCACATATCAGATAAATATGAATGAAGCCGAAACGCAGTCCATCCGTGGGGCTCTGGGGGTCATGTGGGGAAAAGGGATTATCCGGTAATTTGTGTGTTGGCATGCCAGACTCGAGCAGGTGCAACACATGCTCCTGGATGTGGTGTTAGTGGACGTCGGGTGGGCTAAAGGTGAGACTGATTGGGGTGAGGCTGAGAGGCAGCGTGCCGGTTGGATGGTTTAAACTAATCTGCTGAAATGAGCGAACCTGACCTCCACAGCTAGCATAAAAAACCTAGAGTCAACTCAAGCAGGAATCCTGAAACTCTGAAAAGAACAGTCTGGTGAGAAATAGTAGAATTTACACAACCCATCCTTTTACTCAAAGTGGACTCAATCAGCCAAAACGTGTTTGGTGTCTTGACGTTTGCTTTAGTTTGCACTGGAGCCACGAGGCTAATGTAGCATGTGATTAGCATGAATTTTCCATAACTTCTTAGCTACGTTAGCCTAAAAGCAGCAGCCAGGCTGATGGGCCACACTTAGAGTGAGGGGAAAACTGTGTAAGGTTGACTTTTCACCAGACTATTCCTTGAAAGCAGAGCTGTCCAGGAACTCTTAGAAGTTGATTCTAGTTGATTCAAGATGACGTTGGTGTGTAGAATATCTCCAGTCTAGCTGTGGAGCAGTGGCTTGGGAGAGATGGAGAAGGAGACCTATTCACACACCTTACAGAAGGCCACAACCCCCTCCTCCTGGCGCAAGAGCCCAGAAGAGTCGGGGAAAGACAAAGAACAAGGAGAGCAAGGAGACAGGACACAAGACATTTTCACAGTTAGAGAGAGAGAGAGAGAGAGAGGGACTGAGAGAGAGAGGGAGAGAAACATCAAGAGACAGAAAGAGAGCGAGAGGATCTACAACAAGCATGCATTTAATATGAGATGTTACTGAACAGTTTTGTTTCACAGGGACAGAAACATGTTGGACAGAGAAAACCTGTTGGCTAACAGATGCGCGAGTGGACACTGTCGTCCTCTAGGAGCAGAATTGGTGCTAGAGAGTAACTGCAATCGGGTCAAGGTGTGGACCAAAAGCTGGTCTGTGAAGACAACTGGACTTGTGGCATGATCTTAAAAACACTTTTGGCACTTGATTTGAACTTTGAACTGATCTGATCTGATGAAAGCTGCTTGGACTGAACAGCAAAAACATCTTTAAAATAAAGTTCAGTCACTTTCTCTTACTATTATTAGATATCGAAACTATGCAATGAATTGTGGTAAATGCTTCAGTACGGGGCAACATTATAATCCTCTTTGTAATGCTCTTATTAAGCCAGCTGCCAATTGACTGGCTGCTCAATACTACTGTATTAAACAACTACTAAGGTGAATTAATACCTTATTAGGTATAAATATTAACTAGAAATCAGTGCCGGTTTGTCTCTATTTAGATCTAATTCCAATGTACTTTTGAGCTATTGTAAGAATCATAAAACACCACTGGTGCTTTGTTAAGAAATCTGATGAAGTGTAACGTTACAGGGATCATATTCTACTTCTTTTGCAAATTAAATTTCTTTCTCTGAGGTCCACTTATTATGTCTGTCATGCTTTATGTACCAAAAACAGCTGTAGTTAATTTTCTCTTTATCCCTTAGAATTACACAGCCTGTTTTTGTGTGCCTTTAACAGTGAGTGTGTTTACAGGCACTCAATAGTCCGATCATAATCAGATTTCTGCAGTTGTCCGATTATTCAAATGGTCATGTAAACAACATACTCCGATTTCTTAGCTCGGAGTAAGGTCTAGAAATCCGATTAAGAATTCTGATAAAGAGAGCTGGATTTTAGCTCAGTAATCAGATTTCTCAGGGCGTGTGAACTCTTACTCTGATTTCTTTCGGATTTCTCAGTCTGCTATGTGTGAGAACAGACCGAGATTCCGGAAATAAGCGAGGAGCGTTGCCGCGTGACGCAGCAAAACACTTTTGGAGCGATGCTGAAACCAAATACATTCTTAACGAAATGAAGGATTTAACTATTCCTCATCTTCTAGATGATGTATGTTCATATTTTCAGGTAAAGCAGTGCGATGTTTAAAAAAATTAAAAAAGCCACATCATGAAGTTTGAGTTTTACATTACATTTATGCCACGTCTTCTGTGAGTTTATTGGCTGTTTGCAAAGCAGAAATCTGATTACTGTCTGACTCATGTAGACCTGGAGTTTCCCAATTATCTGATTACTCAAGTGTATGTAAATGCATTGATTGGATTATTGACAAAATCTGATTTTCTGCAGTTAGACTATTAAGTGTAAACGCACTCACTGATATATGTAAATGAGCTCTGTTCTGATTTGCTGTTCTGTATTGCGCCTCATTCAAAAAGTCTGAAAGACTCTTCATAACTTCAGTACATGTAGGTGGAAACTGCTGTAGTCTGAACAGGTGGATATATGTAAATGTGCTGTATGGACTGGGGAGCGAATGGGCCATTTTGAAATTTTAACATGTTTACATACTATATTTAACTTGCATCTCAAAAAAGTGAGTGAAATTTATTATATCATGATATGGACCCTTTAACTATAATCTAAATCCTGAATTAAAAGCAAACGCCCTTAAATCTGGTCCTGGAATCCAGTTATCAGTCCTGGATTTTGTAACAACTGGTAGTTTAGTGAACTGTTCATCTAACATTGGCGAAGTAGCGTCATAGCAACCAGTGATTACAAAATCCAGGACCGGAAACTGGATTCAAGGTCCAAATTTGAAAGCTACTGCTTTAGAATAAAGAATCAGTTTGTCTTTAGACAAATTTTAGAGCAAATTTAGAGCAGATTTACTGCTGTTATACTGATACAAATAAAAAGAAAACAGCAAACTAACGCTTTGAGAAAATAAATAAACAATTCTGATCAGATGTAATGAAACTAATTAGGTTGTTCTTTACAGAGTTCATGAATAAGCACATTCCATATAGACCCAATACTTAGGTAATAGGTTGTGTACAAGATTATGATGTATAATACACACATTAATGTGCTCTGGAAAATGCTTAATTCATTTAGCTACCGCTTCATTAAGCAGCAATGAGTTAATCAGTTAATTACCAGCCACTGACTTGATATGGATTAATAAGAGCATTATAACATCACCCTCCTAAAGTGCTGTCTGAATTTCTTGCAGGTTCTTTTCCAGCCCAATGAACAGAGGCAAGGGCGTGGCCTGACTATTTCTGCTGGTCAGATAGTATATGGACACACACATATTAGAAAACAGTTTTCCGGAACCCTCTTTGCACCACTTCTTGTATCCTAGTGGACCAAACTACCTTTGGGCATCTTTAAAATCCAAATTAGGCCGATGTGCCTAGTTTTTAATACCGAAACAACAAAGACATTGGAAAAGTAACAGCACTTCTACTAATAGGCATGTTTACTGTGCATGGCTAACTCAGTGCTAAGCCTAGGGCAGTCGTGGTGCTATTTCAGCTATTCCTGCCTGGGGCTTTAATGGGCTTTAATGCTTTTAGTAACACAAGCGCACGTACCTGCTTTCCTCCCATCGACTCAAACATCTTCTCCAGCTGAACCCGAAGCTGTTGGATGTTGTTCAAGAGGATGCAGGGCTGTCAGGAAAACAAACAGAACACAAACAAACAAATCATTTTAATGATTTATTGATTTTTTTCCCTCCTTTGCTCATATCTGCACACGCCCAAGCTCACAATCCCTCAGCCGAGGCAAACGCATCTGGGCATTGTGGCAGTGCAGAGTGCTCGGTTTAAGCAATGCAAACTGATGTCTCTGTGTTTGTTGTTGATGATGATGATTGCGATGATGGAAGCTGCTCCTTCTCACATTCTTGTGCACGCAGTCATGAAAGAGATGAGTGTTTCCTGCACATTACAGACCGGAGTCATGTAGAAACCTTAAATAATGAAACCCCTCACTTCACTGAGGGGTGCTTTTATTATGCAAAAATTCAGGCATGCATCTGAAATACAGAGACTTTTAAAAAGTGGGTGTGGCCTTCATTGTTTCCTTAAAGAGGTGCACACTTTGATAAGTAACTATTTTGATGCAAGACTAATGAGAATCTTCAGGGATTCTGCTGTGGTTTAAGGTGTGTGTGAGTTATGCAATTGTATGTCCTGCTTAAAATCCAGAAAAAAAAATGCAGGGGAGCAATTTTGGCCCTTAATATCTCCACAACGAAGTACATCAGATCCTTCAAATTTTGACATTTATTACTCATATTACAGTAAACTTTTGCCAACTAGGTATATTTCTTACACTAATAATGTTTTCTGATTTATGAGCTCCTAAAAGTGAAAAAAGACAGAAAAAAACAACTACATTTCAAACGCATATGGCATCATGTCTTATAAAGGTTAGAAAAATCGAAGCCTGAAAAGGGCACAATATTGTTTATATAATCATAATAGTAAATATAAATTTTATATTATATATAATATTAAACAATTAAATATAATGAAGTGATTTGCTTTTCTATGCCAGACACAACTTTATACTGTCTATCAGATGATATGCTAGCAGATAGAAGGTGACTGTTTTCCGCTCCAACTCTAATGCACAAAAATACAACTCTGTATTTTTTGTTTTGGTGGTTAATTAAACTACCAAATTAATTAATAACTGATGAAATAATTTAAAGAATAATCACTGAAAAATTCATTTTTCTAATATTAATATTTAAAAAGTTATGATATCAAAGCCTGTAGCATTTTAAGCAAAAAGGAAGACTATAGCAATTGGCAAAAGTCTTTATATCACAGAAACTAATAAAGATAAAAGCCTTATATTTTGCACAATATCCACTGGGCTCAGCAACATTATTTCCTGAAAGTATTAATCAAATTGGTCAGTCAAAATGCAGCCACTAATTCCACAAAAATTATCCATACCTCTTTTGTCCTAATCAAGTACTTTTGTTAGTAAGTACTTAAGCAAGTTGTTCTTCAGTTTTGCAGTTTTTGCAAAGAAATATTGCACAAACAACTTTCTGTTTAATGTGTTTCTGCAAAATGATAAAGTAATCCTCATTTATTCATAACATATTACCAAGCCATGGGTCTTCAAACTTTTGACAGGTACTGTACGCCTGCTGACATTTGCGAATGAGACAGAGAAATATTAATCAATCTGGAAGCTCACAACGACAATAATATAAAATTCTGCAAACACATCAGAGGGGTTAATATGACACGTATGGGAGGTTCCTGGCTAATTACCATTCATATGTATATTCTCTTCCCCCACATTAGTCCAAAGGTCACATGCCAACACTGTGATAAATGTGACTCAGGCAATGAAAACGAGATCCAGAGCCTCAGCACTAATGAAATCAATTAGTATTCTCAATAATGACTGGGGGGAATTGGTGGAAGTGTGCGGCAGCGACAGGGCAATCTGAGCTGACCATTTTGTGAGGGCATATAGTAAATTACACTCACACTAATGAACACACACATTACACAGGTGGTTCTCAGACCCATGAGAACCCTGTACTGAGGATCTTTGTACGCCCCCAGCTCTAACACAACAACATGAAGCTCTCAATAATTACCTGATGACCTCAGATTGGCGTATTACCGATGTTCATGTCATATATGATGCGTAGTTTGGAGTTTTGATGATGGGCTGACTGAAATGTTTTTGTTTTTTGTTGTTATCTGGTACAGAAAGAAGGCAGATTGCTAGTGTTACTGCTAGGAAGCTAAATACCTTTATGCAGTCATATAACTGCAAGAGTACTGAGTAATGAATTACTCAAACGACAGAAATGACTCATCTGATGAGGAGAAACCAAGCAAAAAGCTAAAGTTAGCAAGACAACTGACCACTTCATTGAAACCAACTCCTTGTATATACACTCACTGTCCGTTTTATCAGCTCCACTCCAGCAGCACTGCTGTGTCTGATCCACTCGCACCAGCACACACTAATAAACCACCACCACGTCAGTGTTACTGCAGTGCTGAGAATGATCCACCACCTAAATAAAACTTGCTCTGTGGGGATCCTGTGGGGGTCCTGACCATTGAAGAACAGGGTAACAAAGTATCAGAGAAACAGATGGACTACAGTCTGTAGCTGTAGAGCTACAAAGTGCTCCTATATGGTCAGTGGAGCTAATAAAATGGACACTGAGTGTAGATACAGTAACATGGTTTTATGGGGATTCCCAGTGGTCATATGATGATATTTGTGTGATGCATGCTGGGAATTGTAGTGCAAGAACACTGATGAACAAAAACATGAAACATGAAAACATAAAAAGCTATTAAATTAGGAAAAAAATATCATATTAGCTATATTAGATTCACAGAAACATGCAGTGCATATGTTCCCCATGACTGGAACTGAGGAGCACAACACTACGGCATGACTTGCAGCGCTGATTTATTGAGCATATAGAATTGCGAAGGCAGAGATTAAGCTGACGTGTTTTGGCTCTGAACTAAGCTGTCAGTCACGCAGAGGGAGATAAGCTCAAAGAGCAGCTCCCAGTTTTGACACAGCACTGTGATGTGCGTCTTTAATTAAGGGCCGTGTCTCGGTCTCTCTTCACCAGTGGCTCACAGCTAGCAAATGCTAAATGTCTCATTCCGTCTTTACTGAAAACGCTAGTGAGACGGATCATTACGAACAAAGACATTCTGTAGGATTCGCAGCATAAGAGAAACATCTCGAGTGTCGTTGCTCACTGCTGTGAGAAAATGAATGGAAGAGTTAAAGTGATGGTTTGGTAAAAAAATCTAATTTATACTAATGTAGTCAGTCAGACAAGACACGTTTAGCATCTGAAGTTTGCTTGCTGGTTTTCTACCTGGAGCTACTTTGCAGCTAATGGACAAAGTTCAGGCCTGTTAGCTATGCTAACATACTTTAGTCCATGTTTATAGATAACAGTGTGTCATATAATATCAGAAACCACATAATCTGGTCTATTAGAGACACTGAACAGCTCCACATGTTTGAGGCAGCTGTGTGATTATTTAGGCCTGCAGTTAGCACCATGCTGACTGTTAATGCTAATGATCTTCCATTACTAGCTACATTAGCGTCATAGCGCCAGGTCTAAAAATAAAGAAGCAAACTTCAGACAACAAATATGTCTCAGCTGACTGACAATAATTGAAGTAAATTAGATATAAATTAGTTTTTTTTACCAAACTATTGCTTTATATTGACCACACAGTGCAGAAACAGTGGACTGTGTTGGCCGATGTGGATATAAAAGCTCTGGGTTTCCGTTCTATTGTGCCACATTTCATTCTGTTGTGCCACATTCTGTCTCAAATCGGGGCCTGACACCGCACCCCCAGCATCCTAAACCACCAGGATCAGCCGTGACGTCTCACTGCGGGCTGGTCTCCATGGCAACATGAGGGCGTGCGCCACGGCCGAATGGGATAGACACTAGTGGTGCACTGAAATGAAAACCCTTGACCAAAACCAAATTTAGAACGCACTGGAATGACGAACTGAAGCTGATAACCAAGAGCTGGATTTAATCAACCGTTGCATAAATTATATTCACACAGTTTTTGTTGAAAACTGTCTCTTTAACCACTATTCTCATTACCACTTAAATGATTTGTAATATTAATATGTTTAATATTATATTCTGATACCGTGTTATAGTTAGGGGTGGCTTTTGAAATTAAATTCTTTATGGTACCAAATTTTGACAATATTATAACTATTAATATTTATATTAATTAATTAATTATTAATGTTAATATTAATAATTAATAAAAAGTATTGAAAAAGTCAGTCATTCAATACCTAAGTAGACACCCTTTCAGTCTTATCAGCTTCAGTGAGCCAATGAGAGTGCTTGTTCCAAAATCTATACTGCTGATTGGCTGTCTAATAAATTAATAACATTGCAATAACAATGCATGATGTAAGTGTAGTAAAAACTGTACACTGGAATGGTTCAATACTAGTGTATACTAATGTGTATACTGTGCATATGTTTAGAGTCATATATATATATAAACATAGTTTGTATGTATATGTTTTTTCATATATATTTTTTGGTACATTTAAGTACTACAGGGGGCCTTTTCACTCACCGATGCACCTGTGTAGATGTGATGTGGCAATAGATTTTATATCGATATACGCCTCTGTTTGTGTCTCGATACAGTGTACGACAGTGGAGGGAATGCTTGCTTAAGCGCATACTCACCACTTTCTCTTTGCTGAGGTGGGAGCTGAAGTCTTTGGAGATGATGGCAGCGTACTGCAGGAGAACTTTGTTGATGGTCTGCAGTGACAAAGCAAACAGAGCAATCTTACAGTATAATCATACAATAAACAGGGAATGTATCCATCTAATGAGAGGAGTAATCAGTATAATCAGTTACAGCATCTACATGATAAAACAGGTTATAGGACCAGCAGCTGTTCTGCGAGTCAAGCCTGGATGATGCAAACACTCAAACGCTGCTGAAGAGTGCTCATATTCATATTCATCAATATTCATCACTCTCTAAAGATTCATTAATAACTTTTAAACTTTTCACCAACAATCGTCAAAGCTCCGACTGTGGGAGCTAAATAAACACGATTGCAAACAAGTAAATGAGGTTGGTGATTATTTGTCACAGTCGATAAACAGGTGAACGCTTTAATCCATCATCTGAGAGGCGGAGGCCCACAGAGCTCTCTCTCAACCTTTCTCTCCTCTCTCTCTCCACTTCCTTCTCACTCTCTCACTCCCCTCCTCTCTTTCTTTCACTCTCTTCTTTTCCTTCTCTCTCCTCTCTCTATCCTGCTTCTTTCTCTCCTTGCCTCTCTTTTTCCTTTCCTCTGTTTCTCCATTTCCTTCTCACTTTCACTCTCTCTTTTCTTCTCTTTCTCCTTCCCCCCTTTCTCTCCCTTCTCTCTACCTAATGCTACTTCTCCTTTTCACTTTCTCCCTCCCTCTCTTCTCTCTTTGTCTCTCTTCCCCTTTCCTTTTCTGTCTTCTCTCTCTCTCTCTCACTCTATCTCTCTTACCTGTCTCTCTTTTGCTGTCTTTATCTCTCTCCTTTTCCTTCTCTGTTCCTCCCTCTCTCCTCCACTTCTCTCTCAGTCTATGTCTCTGAGTCTCTTTCTTCCCCTTTCCTTCTCTTTCTCTCCTTCCTTCTTTTTCCCTTTTCTTTTCACCCTTTCCTCCTTTCTCTCTCTCTCTCTCTCTCTCTCCTCTCCCTCTCTCTCTCTCTGATCTCTTATTACAGCTCTCTGCTCTACAGTGTGCTCTCTAGGCTCTGTTCAGTGCTCTGTGTGTGGCTGCATCAGGCTGTGCATGTGTGTGTGTGTGGTATATGGTGGTGATGAGGAATTGCTCTGCCCTTTCCAATTCATTTGCATTCACTACAGACAGGCTGGAGAACAGCGCTCGATGGATGTGTTGGGATTACACACTCGCCCGTGTGTGTGTGTTTGTGTGTGTGTGGTGTAATCAGACATGGAGCACGGAGCTCAATTTATGAGCACACAGAATAAGAACACACTCTTCTGACAGTAAATGACATTCAACCCTGCTGGTAACCTTTCAGTGACAACCACACACTCGCACATGTACACACGCACTCATACACAGGAACCACTGCCTGACTGCCCTGTGTCATCTCCTTCTCTCTCTCTCTCTCATTTTCTATAACATCTTCTATTGTAGTTATGACAACTTTGAGCCGCTGAGTAAGTTTTACTTCCAGTTGACCCACAGCTTCTCTGAAGGAATATCAAGGTTTACAACACCTACGCCTGCCCGATTGTCCAGCGCAGAGAAAACACTCTGCAGAGCTGAAAATCACAGGTCCAATCAGGGGAGCTGACATTCAGCCACAGGCTACTTTCAACAGTGAGCAACGTACCTGATACGGCCTTCATTCATATTTATAAGCCAACACTCCCAATCTAGGCAATCTCGTGTTGTGTGCTGGATAACATCAGTAGCGTAAGATGTCTTTTAAAATGTGGGTGCAGCAGGAGAATTCAACAAAGCAAGAGGGTCATTCTCTATTTGGAGGGGAAACCATGTCACAAAGGTCGCAGGGCTTAAAAGGATGCTTAAAATACCAGGCACAGCTCCAAAAGTCAGTATGTAAATTTACACAGTTGACCTAAGATTAAAAAAAACTTTTCCCTTATGATTTCTCTGAGTTTTCACAGTCGCTCTGCATCTGTAAAACAGCTCATCACAAAACCAGTTTTCAACACTTGAGGAACCATTTTTAACATAAAACAATATTTTTAAGAGGTTTAACTTAAGAATTTGTTTAAAGATATACAGATTCATGTTTACTTTTTATATCATTAATGTTATACTACATTTAAAAATATGTATTTTATTTAAAAAATCATTGTCACAGAGATTTTGATCACTGGTGTTATCAGGACTTTTATATTACATTTGTATTGAGTCCACACTCACTCACTATATTTCACACATAACTTCTATGTGTCACTGGTGTTATGTGCTTCAATGGCTAGGTAATTAAAATTTTGTGAAAATAATGCTTTACATATTTTTATCACTGATTTTAAATAGGTGCACAAGATCACCTGGCTGCCAATGAGTCAGCCAATTTATAAAATCCTCAGTTTTAACCAGAATGTCACTGGAGTCACAGTCACTGGTGTTACACCATATTCATATAAAACCAGTGACTGTAAAATATGTTTGGAATTAAGCTCTCCTTTTCGCATATATGATAATAGGAGGTGTTAATGGACATATTAAGATTATTTAGTTTTGGGATGAAAGAAACTGATTTTTAAAAAATGTATCCACCTTAATTCCCACTCCAAATGGAGAACGACCCGAGAGAAAAACTTTATTCTCTCATTAAAATACCAGTTTCAGTGGGTCAATTTTGACCCATCCAGACTGCAGATGAACAAAAGCTCTGTCGTCTTGACTCTGTTTTTGCACCAAAGATTAAAAGATCCAGATGTATGCAAAAGTTTGAACACCCCTGCAATATGTGAAATTGAGCATGCTGAGGTCTTTGAACAAAAAGGTCAGATTTTCCTGTAGTCTTATCTCTTCCAGTGAAGCTCATGTTCAGATGACTGTCAGGTCGATTTGATCTACTGATCAGAGGTACAAACTTACACAGTTCAGTTGCACACTGTCTTCAAAGCATACAAGGGACACACCACCAAATACTGAGAAATCCTGAAATTCATGTAACTTTAAAAGATTCTACTAAACTGTTTATATTATATATATTATTTATATATTATTTGTAAATCTGTATAAAATTAGAAAAGAATGCAAAATAGAAGCGGTTTCACCAGTGGTCTCAAACTATGGGCTACAGTATGTTAAATTCAGCAAAGAAACAGTTATTGTGTATTAAAATGTGCAGAAGTGTGTTCTCTGTAGAGGATGTGTTCACTGATTTTCACTCAGAAAATCAAAAAAAACGTTATCTGGGGAATCCAGAGATTTGCATGAAACAGTACAGTTATATATTATTATTATTATTATTATTATTATTACCACATAATCAAGTCTATTAGAGATTACTGAACAGATAAATTTGACTGTTTTTTAATGAATGACTCCACTGAGCATTTTTTTCTCCAGCTTCCAAATCCTTTAAACCTGTAATGGAGCCACATGAAGCGTGTGAGGGGTCCTGGTGGGTCTGAGTACTCACCTTAGCAAACCTGCACATGAAGTGAGCGAGAGCCTGTGGGTTTGGACACTCCAGCTTCTTAATGATCTCAAAACTCTGATTCAGCTGCGTGAACACGTCCACCACCGAGCAGGAGAACAGAGCATGCTCAGATGTCTGCTGGAACTGTGGAGAGAGAGAATTTCGTCATATAAGGCCTGTCTAATACTGATAAACTAACAAATGAAAAATAACCATGATCCATTAATATTTTATTATTGCTTTCTTACTAATCACAATGCATTTTTTACTATAGTGCAAAGTTTTAAAACAAGTTTACAGAGTGCTTTACAGTGACACTAAAAACAAAAAATATACAGATGAGAAAAAAAAATTAGAATAAATAAATAAAATTAAAATTTGGTAAAATAAATATGAAAAGAGAAAACAAAACAAATAATAAATAAAACTTAATAGAATTTAACTGAAAAATAAAAGTGTGCTACATGTGGCACGGAAGATATGTTTAAATTTGACCTATACTCTCTATTAATTACAAACCCATTTCCCCCCAAAGTTGGGACGCTGTGCAAAATGTAAATAAAAACAAAATGCAATGATGTGCAAATCAAGTAAACCCTACGTTTAATTGAAAATAGTACAAAGACAACATATCAAATGTTGAAACTGAGAAATTTTATTGTTTATTGAAATATATTTGCCCATTTTCAATTTGATGCCAACAACACGTTCCAAAAAAGTTGGGACGGGGCAACAAAAGGCTGGTAAAGTTGTGTAATGCTAAAAAAACACCTGGTGGTTGGCAACAGGTCAGTAACATGATTAGGTATAAAAAAGCCTCCCAGAGAGGCGGAGTCTGTCAGAAGTAAAGATGGTGAGAGGTTCAACACTCTGTGAAAGACTGTACGATCAAATAGGAGAACAATTTCTCAACATAAAATAGCAAAGAACTTCTGCTTTTCATCATCTACGGTACATAATAACATTAAAAGATTCAGAGAATCTGGAGAAATCTCTGTATGTAAGGGACAAGGCCAAAAAACAGTACTGGCTGGCTGTGATCTTTGGGCCCTCAGGCAGCACTGCATTAAAAACAGACATGATTCTGTAGCGGAAATCACTGTATGGACTCAGGAACACTTCCGAAAACCCTTATCTGTGAACACAGTTTGTCGCTGCATCTACAAATGCAAGTTCAAACTCTAAAATCCAAAGAAGAAACATATATATAAATAGGATCCAGAAATGCTGCCACCTTCTCTGGGCCCGAGCTCATTTAAAATGGACTGAGCTGAAGTGGAAAAGTGTCCTGTAGTCCGACAAGTCACATTTGAAATTCTTTTAGGAAATCTTGGACACCTCCGGGCTAAACACCACTCAGCTTGTTATCAGTACACAGTTCAAAAGCCAGTATTCATGATGGTATAGGGGGCATTAGTGCACATGGCATGGGTGACGTGCACATCTATGAAGGCACCATTAATGCTGAACAATAGATACATGTTTTGGCAACATATGCTGCCATCCAGACGACGTCTTTTTCAGGGAAGGCCTTGATATTTCAGCAAGACAATGCAAAACCACATTCTGCATGTATTACAACAGCATGGCTCCGTATTCTAATAGTCCGGTCGCTAACCCACTGAAAACATTTTGTGCATTATGAAATGAAAAATACAACAAATGAGGCCCTGAACTGTTGAGCAGCTGAAATCCTAACAGGAACGGGAAAACATTTCACTTTCTAATCTACAGCAGTGTCTCCTCAGTTCCCAAACGCTTACAGAGTGTTGATAAAGAAGAGGTGATGAGACACAGTGGTAAACAGGCCCCCGTCCCAACTTTTCTGGAACGTGTTGTTGGCATCAAATTCAAAACAGGCATATATTTTTCAAAAAACAATAAAATTTCTCATTTTCAACATTTGATTTGTTGTCTTTGTAGTATTTTCCTTTAAAATATGGTTTACATGATCTGCATATCATTACATTCTATATTATTTACATTCTGCACAGCCAGTGTGAGGGTTAGGATTAGGTTTTGGGTTGAGGTTAAGGCTACGTTTAGGATTAGGGCCAGACTGAGGGTTAGGATTAGGTTTTGGGTTGAGGTTAAGGCTAGGTTTAGGATTAGGGCCAGGATGAGGGTTAACATTACATTTTGGGTTGAGGTTAGGAATAGGATCAGTGCCAGGATGAGGGTTAGGATTAGGTTCTGGGTTGAGGTTAAGGCTAGGTTTAGGATTAGGGCCAGGATGAGGGTTAACATTACATTTTGGGTTGAGGTTAGGAATAGGATCAGTGCCAGGATGAGGGTTAGGATTAGGTTCTGGGTTGAGGTTAAGGCTACGTTTAGGATTAGGGCCAGACTGAGGGTTAGGATTAGGTTTTGGGTTGAGGTTAAGGCTAGGTTTAGGATTAGGGCCAGGATGAGGGTTAACATTACATTTTGGGTTGAGGTTAGGAATAGGATCAGTGCCAGGATGAGGGTTAGGATTAGGTTCTGGGTTGAGGTTAAGGCCAGGTTTAGGATTACGGCCAGAGTGAGGGTTAGGATTAGGTTTTGTGGTGAGGATGAGGTAAGGGTTAGGATTAGGGCCAGGATGAGAGTTAACATTAGGTTTTGGGTTGAGGTTTAGGCTAGGTTTAGGATTAGGACCAGTGTGAGGGTTAGGATTAGGTTTTGGTTTGAGGTTGAAGTTAGGAATAGGATTAGAGCCAGAGTGAGGGTTAGGATTAGGTTCTGGGTTGAGGTTAAGGCTAGGTTTAGGATTAGGGCCAGGATGAGGGTTAGCATAAGGTTTTGTGTTGAGGTTAAGGTAAGGATTAGGATTAGGTTCTGTGTTGAGGTTAAGGTTAAGGTTAAGGTTAGAATTAGGGCCAGGGTGAGGGTTAGGATTAGGTTTTGCATTGAGGTTAAAGTGAGGGTTAGGATTAAGGCTAGGGTGAGGGTTAGGATTAGGTTTGTGTTGAAGCTAAGGTTAGGGTTAGGATTAGGGTTTGTGTTGAGGTAAAGATTAGGATTAGGTCCAGGAAGGGTTAGGTTTGGGTAAGGTTGGGTAAGGTCAGGTTTTGCATAATGGAAGTAACATATTAATAATACATCTACTTAATGTAAGTAATGTATCAACAGGACATCTACTAGATATTTACTTCAATGTATTAGATGCTTCACTACTGCTACTTCACTGATATGTTGTTGATGTGTTACTGATAATCTGTTAAGTGTTTATTAATCATCTACCCCATCCAAATGAAGTGTTACTGGACATTTCTTTGCTGTCAATCTGGCAGTGACACTGAGTTTTGCATTAGCTTGTAAATACTGTCCACAGTTTGAGGTCTGAAATAACTAGTTGAACATCAGTCATATAATCTTCCCAATAACTTACTATCTTCTCCTGCACATGTTCTCAGATTGCAAAAAAACAATTCACACACACAAAAAAAAAGTATTCACACAAGCTTTACGCTGAAAAACCCTCTTCATGATAAGTGATTGTGGAAAAAAAGTAAAACCTTTGTTCCCCCAAGTGCTACTCTGTCACTTCCCTGCCCTGCTAATTCACAGCCGACAACAGCGAGCCATCTGCAATTATAATTACTAATGTCGCATATTCACGAATCAGCTAATACACAGAGCCGATATCAATTGCACCAAATGACTTTCTGTGCGCGCTGCAAGTGTTGTGGGCTTGAAGCAATTAACATATGAATCCAATCAGGGCTCGGAGAGTGGAACGAGCGATAAACGTGCGGCTATAAACGATGCTGGAGCTGTTAGGTAGCTCTGGAATACAATGGCAGCCATACATATTCATGCAACCTTGTTACTTCATTAATCCTCATCAGTCTAATGTGCTTTGGATTAGCGGCTGCTCATCTGACACACTGTTTTTGTATGGAAACTCAAGTGTAGGTTATTTTTTTTGGACAATAAGAGGAAATAAAGAGCACCATTTCCAGCCGAGCCTGAGAAAAGGGGTCGCTGCCTGTTAAATGTGGATGAGGCTTCATTACAGGAGCGCTTAATCCAAATAGTGTGGAACAGCTCATCTGTTACACAGGTTGTGTTAGCCATCCTCTAGACCTTCATCAATGGTCATTTTCTGACCACACAGCTGCTCCTGGCTGGATATTTATGGGTGGTAATCCACTTTCAACCTAGCAGCAACACTGATATGTGTCCAGCAACACTGCTGTGTCTGATACACTCGTACCAGCACCACACACACTTCTATATCAGTGTTACTGCTGTGCTGAGAATGGATCACCACCCAAATAACATCTGGACAACAGTGGTCCTATGGTCAGAAACTGACCGAGGATGAATGAGGTAGATGAGGAGAGGTGATAAACTGTGTAGCAGGTCTGTAACTGTACAACTTTACAGAGAAGCTATAAGCTAGGTGTCTCTAATAAAGTGGCCAGTGAGTGGAAGTACACTCTTAAAAAAGATGGCTCTCCAAGTGTTCTTTAGTCAATAGAATGGTTCTGTTTAGAACCATGAGGTCTATAGAGATTTTGTGCTTAAATGGTTCTTTGTATGGTGAAAATGTTCTTCAGATTGATGGAAAATGTGCTGTATATAGTGTATATAGAATGTTTTGAAAATGGTTTTATATACACTTTTAAAAAGATGCTGCTTCAAGGGTTCTTTAGTAAAAATGGTTCTATATAGAACTATGAACCCTCAAAAAAGTGTTTGCATGATGAAAGTGTTCTTCAGACTGATGGAAAGTGTGTTGTATCTTTTTGAAAATGGTTCCAAATAGCACCCAAAAGGGTTTTTCTATTGCTACGGTGTCAAGCTTGTAATGATAGAAGAACCCTAGTGCTATACAGAACCCTCTACAGCACATTCATTCATATTTTCCATCAATCAGAAGAACCATTTCATGATGCAAAGAACCCTTTAATCATGCAAAGGCTTCTTTGGTTGTTCATGGTTCTATATCGAACAATTTTCTTTACTAAGGAACCCTTGAAGGACCATATTTTTTAAAAGTGTAGGACCAAAACAGGTTCTACTACTGTCAAAAGCTTGACACTGTAACAATAAGAAGACCCTTTTTGGTGCTACATAGAACTATTTTCAACTTGAAGAACATTTTCACCATGCAAAGAACCCTTTAAGCATACAAATGGTTCTTCATGGGCTCTTTAGTAAAGACCTTGGTTCTATATATACACTTTAAAAAGATGGTTCTTCACAGGTTCTTTAGTAAAGGGTAATGTTCTATACAGAACCATTTGTTCTATATAAAAACATTTGCATGCTTCAATGGTTCTTTGCATGGTGAAATGGGTCTTCAAATTGATGGAGAACGTGTTGCATATGTTTCTGTATAGCACCAAAAAAGGTTCTTCTGCTGTTGCAACCTTGACATCATAGCAACAGAAGAACCCTTTTTGGTGCTATACAGCACCTTTTTCAAAAAGGTTCTATTTAGAACCATTTATAATACATTCCCCATCGATCTAAAAAATACATTTCACCAAGTACCTTTAAGCATGAACAGAACCATTCCTTTTACTAAAGAACCCTTGAAGAACCATCTTTTTTAAGTTTCCAATGAAGTGGACGCTGAGAACTCACCCCGTCTTTCTTGTCTCTCTCCAAAGCTCCGTTGAGGAAATCCATGGCGACGTCTTCATTCTCATCCAACCACTGGATGACGAAAGGCTCAAACCACCTGCAGAGAGAGAGAGAGAGAGAGAGAGAGAGAGAGAGAGAGAGAGAGAGAGCGAAACAGAGAGAGAGAGAGAATCAAACTCTTTCACACTGAGAATCCCTGCAGGCTTCTACCTCTATCTCACTGATCCATGAGCCAGCAACGTGCTAACTCTCTGTTGGAGGAGCTTCACACGCGGACTCTCCGGCTTACCCAGAAGGCATTTCTTACATCTAGCTTCTGTATGTGTGTCTTTAGCCCCCCCACCATCCACAATTATCAAGAGTCTTTTAGAAGGACTCCTGTGACACCTCTAAAGCGCTGCATTCAGACTCACTGGGCCACATGTGACGCCTTCAAACACCTGCGCATTAAAATTTATTACCGTCGATCTTGCCGACCGCCGGCTGACGGGTGAGTGTCAGCTGAGTGATCCAGCGATACAGGTCTAGTGTGAGTGCTGATGAATGTTTAAAGGAGTCTTCCATCTGCGGCTCCTCTGCTGCCTCCCTCAGGATCTGGAGCTCTGCTGACACTGTCTGGGACACATGAGGAAGCTCCGGGGTTGATGGAGCTCTTCGTACTCAAAGGAAACAAACAGCAGTGCGTGGCCTGTGTGGGCTCACTGATTCGGAATATTTGGCTCATCAGTTTATTTCGTAGATTATTCCAAAGCCAACAGGTGTCAGGATGCAGGAGTGTGTTGGTGTCTGAAGGCCTTCATTCACTATAACCTCAGCAGGTGTGATGGAGAGAGAGAGGCAATGAGAGAGAAGAGGGGGGGGGTGAGGGAGGTGAGATAGAAGGAATGAGGTGAGGTATGATAGAGAGAGATACAATAAGAGAGAGAGGGAGAGAGAAAGACAGAATAAGAGAAAAGAAGAGAGACAGACAGACAATAAGAGAAAGAGAGATAGAGAGAGTAGGAAACAGAGAAAGAGAAAGAGAGAATAAGAGAGACTGAAGGAGGGGGGAGAGAGAAGGATGGCAGACGGAGAGAAAAGTATGTGTGAGAGAGAAGCAGGGGAGAGAGAAAAAGAAGGCGGGGAGAGAGAGAGGGAGAGGGAGAAAGAGAGGGATGAGAGAAAGCAAAACAAGTGAGAGAAAGAGAAGGAGGAGAGAGAGAGGGAGTGAGAGAGAAGGCGAGGAGAAAGAGAGAGAAGGAGAGAAAGAAAAAGAGAGAAAGAGGTGAGAGAATAAAAGAGATAGCAAGAGAGAATGACAGCATAAGAGACAGAATAGAGAGAGAGAGAGAGAGAGAGAGAGAGGAAGGAGGGAAGAGATAGAGAGATAAGGATGGGACAGAGAGCGAAGGAGGTGAGAAAGAGGAAATGAGCTGAGGTAAGATGGAGAGAGTTAGAGAGAATATGAGAGAGAGAGGGAGAGAGAAAAAGAATAAGAGAGAGAATAAGGAGAGAGAAAGAGGGGTGAGAGACAGAAGGATGGCAGAGAGAGAGAGAGAGAAGGACGTGAGAGCGAGAAGCAGGGTAGAGAGAAAGAAGGACGGGAGAGAGACAGTGGAAAAGGGAGAGAGAGGGATGGGAGAGAGCGAAGCAAGTGAGAGAGAAAGGAGGTGAGAGAGAGGGAGTGAGAGAGAAGGAGAGGAGAGAAGGAGAGAAAGAAGAAGAGAGAGAAAGGGGAAGAAAACAACAGAGATAGTAAGAGAGAGAATAGTGAAAGCGAGAGAAAGAGACAGAGAGAGAGAGCGAGAGAGAGAGAGAGAGAGAGAGAGAGAGACAGAGGCAGGTGTGTAAGCAGCCCCAGTTACAGTGATTGCATCAGGGTTGCCAAGCCCTGTAAATTTACAGTTTAAAGTTTAAAAAAGGGGCACAAAAGCTTGTCATCCTGACACCAAACCTAAAATGAAGTGTTGCAGCAGCTGAATTTCATGTAACATTTTCCAAAAACATTCACCAGGACTGTGTATATTTTAGTCAATGAGGTCTAAACAGAGAGACTCAGAGTGGTTTGGTGTGAAATGGTTCAGATGTCTTCACAGTGGTGGTGATAGGAACCAGGGGTCGCCATGACTACAACACAAATATGGACATTTTATTTACTATCCAAAGCCATCAGTGAACCTACACGAGTCTTCTGAGTTTTTATCTGTGACGTTGATGATGGTAAAATAAAAATGAGTTTTTTTTTGGGTCTGTTTTGCACTGGAACACTCTGCATGTACCTCTCTGCCATAAATGGACTGTAAAAAATACTTTTTCCCTTTAAAACAGTGAGCATGTTAACATGCACTCAATAATCATAATCGGATTTCTGCATTATGTGATTATATAAATGGTCATGGATTTTAGCTCAGTAATCAGATTTCTCAGGGCGTGTGAACTCTTACTCTGATTTCTTTCGGATTTCTCAGTCTGCGTATGTGTGAAAACAGATACCGGAAATAAGCAAGCAGTGTTGCCACGAGATGCAGCAAAACATTTTTGGAGCGACGCTGAAACCACTACACGCTTCACGAAATGAAGGATATAAATATTCTTCATCTTCTAGATGACGTATGTTCATATTTTCAGGTAAAGTACAGCAGCACTTGAAAAAAGCTGCAGCATGGAGTTTGAGTTTTACGTTGTTTTCGTCACGTCATCTTCTGTGAGTTAATTGCTGGATGCAAAGCAGAATTCCGATTACCGTTCGAGTCATGTAGGCCCGGAGTTTCCCATTAACTGATTACTCAAGTGCATGTAAACATGTTGATGGGATTACTGACAAAATCTGATTTTCTGCAGTTATCGGATTATTTAGTGCATGCAAACACACTCAGTGTTTTAGACATCAGTCAGTGAATTCATAACCATGTCATGTAGTAACTTTCTGTGAGGGAGCTTTTAGAGGTGGACGTCTGGTTCCTATCACCACCACTGTGAACAACTCTGACTCTGTAAGTTTCCCTAGAATAGATCATTTCACATCAAATCACTCTGTATGACTGTTTACATCTTAACCACTTAATTATGTAGAAAGTTTGAAAACTCAGTGGAGTTTCCCCTCAAATTGAGCATGAAATCAGATACATTAGCAGGGAAACTGACTTCCAGCACAGTGGAATGTTTCTGAGACACGTTTGTGTTCAGCTTTAGCAATCCGGCGAGCCTGTCAGGTCATGCTAATTTTAAAGTTACTCGGCTAAGTAAGTTGGGCAGCTCTGAGGACTGTTTTCTGTTTGTGAATGTTTACAGTCTTGGTTCTTTTCCTGTGCTGGACCACTGGCTGCAGTTCATTAAGGAGCTAAAATGTGGTCAAGTCACTGACGCTGCCCAATTATCTCTCACAGGAAAAGCACAAACAGCAGCATCGCAGCAAACCAGCACAAACACACTATCACCACCAGAGTACCAACAGACACTCACATAATCGCAGACAGGTTCTGCTGTCCTCGGGCAGGGCCTCGACCGCTCGCCGGCAGGTAATGATCCCCGGGCTCTATTAGTTAAACTTATGTTGTGTGCGCTGTTGTAACTATGACAGAAACAGCAGCACGGCTGAAATAATGACTTCATAAATCCATGAATATGACCACTGAGTTTACGTATGATGACAGCAAGTCGTTTCTCATTAAAAGCCCTTCCCCAGCCATACGTCCAGCTATAAATCAGGCCTGGAAAGGTCCCCATTAAAAATGACCTGCCTGATAAGCAAAGCATATTGTGCGGCGGTTAAAGGGGAGAGATTGACTGTCTGTTCGAGAGAGAAGCTGCAACGGCACAGCTGTCAGCATGAAACTGAGAAATAAATAAATAAATAAATAAATATTCTGGGAATTGACCAGGAGTGAGAGTAAATGCAACATGGGAAATATAGTCCAAAGACAAAAAATAAACAATATAGTATGAACTCAGAATATTGGGTATTCTGCTGTCTAACACTAGCTCCAGGGGCCTGGCATAAACTGTGCTAAACATTGTTTCACGTCTTAATGCCCACAAGGCTGAAGTTATTTGGCAGCTTTGAGCAGCAGTTACATTCTAGCACCTGTATTTGTATTAAATTTGCAGAAGCCAACTTCAGCTTAATCAAATTTCTTAAGCCATATTCTCATACGTGCATCCTGTCCTCACCCCACTGACCGTCAGCAGGCCATCATGCTATCCTTAATCATAGTATTTTTACTTGTTACTGTATCTTTATTTAGGTTTAGATGATACAGATCTGTGCTGGTTATTTTGCTTCTTCTCCTATGTAGCTGAAGGCGGTAGGTTCCCTTTGTTCTGTTTGTTCTTTCTGAAGGTAGTTTGTTATGGAGAAAGGGTGGGCGAAGTTATCTTTAAATCTGTTCTCGCAAATAAAAATAATACAAACACTGTGTTTTCATGTTTCATGGTTTCATGGTTTAATATCTAAGTTAATGTTATACTTTCATTACCGTGAGCTTAATCATTTCCATCATTGTTAGACTACTTTTGGCCAATTTGGGGGTGCGTTGCTAAAACATAACCAGGTCGGGGTGCAAAGAGGAAAAGTGTGAGCAGGTGTAGGTCAGATCTGTGCTCAAAAGCAGCCAAATATTAATGTAATCAATAAAGTGCTGAATCTCAGTGTGTGACTGTGGGCGTGACAGCGCGACACGTTAGCAATCTGACTGGACATTTGCATAAAGTTCGTCTAGAATTAAGAGAACAGAAAAATCATGACATGATGTATGAGTTGTGTGTATATTGTTGTCTCGCCACATTATTGCATGTTATCACGTTCTGTTTGACTATTTACTAAAAAATCTAATAGAAAAAAGGCAAATCTTTTTGCATGACATCACCACTCACGTCACATACAGGCTGCTTAAAATTTCAGCACCCCCAACAAAACACCTTCCCACGTCCCTGGAGACCACCCTTCTATATTTAATTTCTGGTCAAAATGGGCAGTAATCACCTTCAGCAGAAAATATATATTTAACAGAAATTTTAATAAAAGCCTGAACAATTTAACAGCAGTATTTAGTGTGAGACTACTTTTCCTTTATTACAGCTTCCATTCTTCTCAGGAGACTCACTCTAGTCGTTTTATGAAGTCTAGTTTTGGACACTCTAATCTCCTCAGAAATATCTCCCGAAAAATGAATAACTTAAGCTTAATGGTCGTTTTGACTGTAAATTAAATGAATGAAGGGGGGTCTCTGACCTTTGCATAAAACTGTCTAATAAATATGGGGTGTCTTATTATTACATACAGGTACTTACATATCGCCGTTCACAGAACAAAACCCCGTATCTCCAAAATGGAAACTTTACAGTAGAAGGAAAAAAACATGCTTAACTTTTAATGTAAGTCAATGGAACCAGACTTTTTTCCAAGTCATTTTGGGCCGTTTCTTTTGGTCCATTCTTCATGAAATTTGCACACGATGAAAAAGACAACAGGTATTTTTTAAATTATGTCAAAACCTGAAAAACAACAAAAATGGAGATACAAGGTTCGGTTCTGACAGCCGCGATATATATAATACATACGGGACATTGTAATATATATGCAAAGTACATATAACACTTTTTTTAAAACAAGTGCATGTGTGTGTGTGTGTGTGTGTGTGTGTGTGTGTGTGTGTGTGTGTTGGAAATGTCTCTTCCTTTCACAGATCTTGTAACGGTACAATAAGCCCTGACAGTCCATTTAGCGGTGATGTGCTAACTGTTGAGTGTCATATCTCCCACAATCTCCTCTCCCTCTATCAGACAATGTAAGAGCATTTGCCACGGAGACTGATATTAATAAATAGCATGGCTAAAGCGGCTCTGCGCAGCCTTCTCTGCCATGCAGGAAAATCAATTCTACTGAAGGTGTGTTTTGATTGACAGGTGTGTCGCTGCGCCCCTGAGACTTCGTCCTCACTGTCATCCGGCCCGTGCCACACTCATAACTCTCGCTAATGGATTAGCTGCTGTTTCGCTGCCAGAGGCTGCAGGAGAAAGGAGAGCACTCTCCTGCTAACGTAACGCTGATATGTGATCTGACTCCCTTCAGAGAAAGGGTGAATGTACACTGGTCAAATAACATTGTATGTGAAAATAAGTGAACACATCCTCTACAGGGGCACAACTTTGGTTTTATCAAGAGAGTTATCAATGGAACTTTGAAAAGTTTACTGAAAATGAAAAGAAAGCTCCGGACACTCAAGCAGTTGGGTTTCAGGGTGGAATTATGGAGACTTTGAAGGGTCAAACTAGGTCCCAAGCTTATTACATATAACATACCAAGGCTTATTATTCAGTAACTACAGGGACTTCAATGCAAACTGGCTGAGCTATTCTTAGGTTAGAAAAGTGTGTAATAAAACTTTGGGCCTGCTGGTGGGCTCTGGCCTTTTAAGAGGTTGAAAAAGGACCTATTATTCTCATTTTCAATGTTATTAATTATTATTCGGGGTCTACTACAATAGACTTACATGCTTCAATTTTCCCAAAACACATTGTTTTTCTCATAGTGTACATCTCTATCACCCTCTGTCTGAAACACTCTGTTAGAGCTCCTATGTCTTTAAGACCGCCCACCAAAGAGCCCAGTGTGCTCTGATTGGTCAGTTTGCCCATTCTGTTCTGACTGGTCAACCGCCAGAGTGGCATCCTGCTACAAGTTCCACCCCTACATCACCGTGGCTGTTCTTACAATGGTGCCGGTTCTGCCGTATCAGTCTGAGCCAGAGTCTGTTGCTGAAAGTCCAGTAGAACAAGTTGGTAGAGTTGATCCACCTTCACAAGCTAGACTGGAGCAGGACCTTTCAGAGTTTATGTTTTCACTATTTTTAGTTCTCTGTGCTGTGTGAGGGCATGCCGAGCTTGCTGGCAGGCGGGGAAGAATACTGTGTTACGAGATGATGTCATCTTGTGACAAAGGAAAAGGGCAGGAATTTCAAAGAGGCAGCTCAGAAAAGTGGTTTCTGCATTCTAGAATTGATTGTATTTCATTTTAACAATATTCAAACAATAATGTGCTTATTTTTATTCAAAATTAAAGTCTAGGGACATTTTTGATGCTATATGAATAAATAAAAATCAAATCAAATAAAACTAAGCAAAATAAAAACCTTTGGTAGGTTGTTTTTGTTGTATAAATTGTCTATATAAACTGTTCCTCCAGTTACAATCGTGCATTCAGTGCATCTTTAAAAAATAATTTCTGAATAGTTCCAAATAACTCAATCGAATGTAATTGTGATTATATCTGAGATCTTATTTAGTGCATCTTGGTTATGGAAGGCATTGTCTGAAGTCCCCACTCTTCATTATCATAAGACTTCACTCAGCTTACTCAAATTTTTATTTTGTTGTTTACTTATTACATTTCTTTATTTATATTTTATTTTTTGTGCTGTTTTGATACGCACTTCTTGATGCTCATCAATTACCGTTTATTACTGCTTGTTTTTATTTTATGAATTTCTTTCACTCTTTATTTTGCTTATGTTTTATTATGCTATTCTTTGGTTTGTTGTTTTAATAACTCATTGTTGGTTGTTTATGATGTTTGAGTGAATGTCTGGTATGTCTGGGGTAGTTCTCACTGTGATTCTGATCAGTTTCTGACCATACTCTGTCATGCTTTAGGCATTAGAAAAGCATGTTGAATAAACTGTATTAATATTTTTATAAGCATTTCACGATGTACTGAATTGTTTCATTAAGAATGACAATGGAACCAAAAGTAATCACCCGTGTGTAACGTTTTTCCTGTCCTAGACTTGAAAGCTTACTTTCTGAATAAAAAACATCAAAAACCCATCATTAGAAGTCAGTGTGCAGAAACAGGCCAGTAAAAAAGTCAGCAAACATTCATATCCGCCTGACTACATCGCTCCTCATCACTAAGGAATACCTACAGTGAATATTCTGGTGGAGTCCCCTTGAAGGCCGGCAGGTCTCTCACATACTCGTTGTAGAACCATTTGACTTTGAAGTGCAGATTCATGTACTCCGTGCTCTTGCATAGACGCTGTTTCTCATGTTCTGTGAGGAGATAAACAGAGAAAAAAGAAATAAGGCCATCAGGAGTCACGCAAGGAGACACACTCCACATTTTCATTTCAGAGCAGCTTTGCTTCAGAAGTGTTAATGGGATCTCACAATGTCAAATTCAAATAAAAACCCACAAAATCAGGTCATATGAAAATGTGACGTTAGCACTTGGGCCTAATACCATCCCACAGTTCATTACTTATTAAAACTTTCATGTTAATCTGAACTGATTCACTCATCTTAGCTGCTGACGATCTCACACTGTAGACTCGATCTCACCTTCAAGATGTCAAGAGGCCAGCTGTGAGGCTTAAAGACACCCAAAAATGCTAGCATTGCTAATAATGAGGTAAGTGTGTGGGTGTGTGTGCTCTGCTGTAAGTAAGCTGGTGCACTATGGCTGCCGCTTTACATCGGTTTTTCATTAGTTTTGAATTGTTTGTGTGTATGTTTTGATGGAGTTTGCCATCATATTCACGAGGGCCAAGAGCGATTGTCCAGCTGTGGCTCAGAGGCTTCTTGTGCTGGCTGTTTGGACGACGCTACATCACAGCTATGATGCAGCCTGGACCAGCTGCTTGAGGGATGCTGTATTGTGGTTACGAGGCTCTCTGGACGGGGACCTGATCAGCGTGACATCACAGCCTGGGTTGGCTGCTTGATTGATGCTGCACTGCAGTTGTGGGGCTGCCTGGACCGGTAATGTTTGGCTACATGAGCAGCGCTACTACGTTGCTGCCTGGGCCAGCTACTTGGTTAACGCTGCATTGCAGCTATGAGGCAGCCTGGACTGGTGGTGTTCGGCTGCTGGAATATGCTGCCCCTACATGGCTGAGGACATTTTCGGCCTTCAAGGCTTCCTGGGCCGGCCTTCCGTGTGAGGCATCATAGTTGCGGTGTGAGACTTTCCCCCACAGCTAAGCACTCTTTACAGGCTAGCAAAGTGACTCTCTACCTTGGTCAGTGAAATCCCCCACTGCTAGCTGTGGGAACCATGGAGTTGCGTGTGTGTGTTCTGTGTTATGAATTATTGATTATGTATTATGTTACTTTCTTACTGTAAAACGTCCTTGAACATGGGAAAGATGCCATATAAATACAAGCGTTGACACAATCATGCTAATTGGCTCCATTGGCTCTAATTCATTAGCCACATGAGCATTTTTGTACTTATTACTTTTAGATAAAGCTTTTCATATTTGATTTTCTACATCATATGGTACATGAACAAGCACTGCATTTGAAAGACCAGTCACAATCCACAGCTAGTCTGTGTTTCAGTTCAGCTTAGCATTTATAATTGTTCTCTAGCAAAGAGAAATGTCAGTTTAGGGCAGTTTGAGGAGACAACAGCAGCAAAATTCACATAACAGCAGACGTAATACTGCTTGAAAAGCTACCATTGATGGATTTCAGTGCAGCATTAGCAACTGCTCATGAGCCACTTACAGTGTAATTCCACCAATTTTGTTCAATCAGTCTATTCTCAGGCACCAGGCATCTCAGTATGTTTCTCTAGAATCGAGAATTTCACTCCAAACCGTTCTAAATGAACCATTCTTTGTTTATATCTTAACGACTAAATTATGCAGAAATTTGGAAAAATTGTTCCAAAACCCCTTTAGGAAGACAAAATTGCCTGGCTGGCTAAAAATGAGAGATCTTTGTCTTAGTTATCCTGAGGACTTGAGGTGTGAGGCAGGGGATGATTGAACATCAGTTTCTATGACAAATATACCTCATGTATGGTCAGCAGGTCAAGATATCCCATAATGACCAAAACTAATAGGCTTAGCTGGGGCTTTATGCACTCATTGAGATCCGGAGACAAATCTTTAAGCCAGATTTGTGCTAGCTAATGGCCTGCTAACTCCATTGGGTTTGTGCCTGCTAGCCCCTCTGGGTCTGTCACTGCTAACACCCTGGGTTTGTGGCTGCTAACCCCCCGCACCCCTGAGTCTGTGCCTGTTAACACCCCTGAGCTGGTGCGGATCTCCGGTAGGTCTGGGGTGACTTTGGTAGGCAAGGCTGTGATAAGCTGTGACAGGTCAGATAATGAAAGTAGGGTTGGATGAAAGCAAGAAAAGAGCGAGAGAGAGAGAGAGAGAGAGAGAGAAAATGAGAGCAAGACAAAAAGAGCGAAAGGTAGAGAGGAATGATAAAGTAAGGAGAAGATAGACGAAAAGACAGGATGTCTGTGAAAGGTATTTTGCTTATTAATAGCTTGGTAATAGGCCTTTGGCGGTATTAAAGTTATAAGTTAAGGGCTTGAGTTAAGAACTTTAATGCCAAAGAGAGAATCCGAAATCACAGTCGATAAACAGAAAGAGGGAGTCAAAAACCAGAAAACCAAAACGGAGCAAAGGGACAAGGCAGAAATCAAGGTAATTAACAGAACACGGGTCATACATCGAGTAACAATAACTAACATCAGAGAAACGCTCGGTATGTACAACAAGGAGCCGATACTTCACAATGTGAGGTTACAAACAGGCTGATTATACACTGTGACAGGTGTGGTGATAGAATAGTGATAGGTTGATCAGTGAGAGTCCTGAGTCACGTGATGAGGCGGGGGGTTCTAGGAACCGTAGTCTGGAGCAGCCGCGTTGGCTGTAGTTTCAGCCAGGCCGGAGGGAGGCGTGACGCACCTCTATAATTCATAGACTATATTTCCTGAACCACTCCACTAAAAAAGCCCAGCCATTCAAGCATAGGTGCCCATAGCATACGCCCCGCCCCCTCACTAATAGGATCCACACAGATGGTTAGTTTTGATTATTGACAATGGTTTTCAATTTCTACACTGTATTAAACTCATTACAATCATTACACCCAGCACTCCAAACCCAAAATCTCTCCTGTCATCATGTGATACAGGAGATAATCAAACATGTTTGAAAATATTGAAAGGTGCATGCTCTCCTCTCATGCTACCAGATCATCCACCCTGTCAATCACTTCCAATAGAGCTGGAAAACTGCTCTAGGTCGTAAAAAATCACAGGCTATATCAGGCTAACAAAACACAGTGTAGGCCTGGCTTTAGCGTTCCAGAGATAATGGGGTCTCCTGACGACAGTGATAGCGTATCAGTATGACACCATACTGGACTTGAATTCTAGATCTAAACTTCTGAAATCCACAATCAAAGTCAGTGAGCTCCATTAGTTTTGTCCTGGAACTAACGTCCATCTGAAGTGGAACTGAAGTTGATCTCAGTTCATTAGCACTGAGTGAAGTGTACATTTGTCTGGTCCGCCTGGGGAGCTGGAGGCTCTATATAACGTCCAATGTTCCAGCGTGGCGAGTGGGGAAAATATTAATAAAGCCTGCATATGAAACACGCCTGTATGAATTATTTAAAGGAGTGGCTAACTAACTGCGGTGACTCCTAATACCTAACACAATCAGGCCAACAGGAGAAGCAAAACAAAGTGTTTCAATTTTGCTTTATGTTGAGCAAGTAGTGTACGTGGTAAGTGCTTATTTGTCTTGGGAGAGCAGTTCTGGCCGGGGGCCACTTTTCCTCCGTATACCTTTGGGGAGCAGGATGCATATCTGATATTGCTGTAATATGACTTGCCAACCAGCACTGAAATACATCAGCAAAGCATCTGTGACTGTTTTCACGTGTGGTTCCTTTTAAAAGAACCGAATTCTGTTAAAGTGAATCTTTTTACGAGGCTGAAATCAGCTTCTCATTTGCCAGCTTCTTGTTCAAAGTCTTGAAGATAAAGTCAGTTTCTCGCTCAAATTGTCCCGTTCCACCTTAAATGGTGCCGCAGTTACATTCTGGTGCCTCAGGTACCATTTAAAGCGGAATGGGAAAATTCGAACGAGACTTCTTGAATCTTCATGACTTTTTAGTGTTTGACAGTTTCTCGTTGCAGATTAAGTGTATCAGGAAACCAGCTGGAGTGATTATAAATGCAACAAAGTCCATTTGACTCTTTTTATTATTGATGTTCGTCTTAAATTTTCATCTTCGAGCAAAACTGGACCCAGACTGGATAAACTGTACTCAAGGCCATGGTGGAATACTTCAATAATGGTAACCTACTAAAAACCACTAAACGTTATTGTTGTTGATGACATCATCTTTGATAGAAAAAATATTTAAATGAGCATTGTACAGGGAGATTCACTCGAAAGAGGCCCTGAATATTCTGTTGTAACTCCCGTTAGGATGAAGCAATCTGAGCCAAAAAAAATACACTACATGCCTCGACGTGTGTGCAATCGATTACATTTTCGGACGACCTCTTCATTTTGTTTTAATAATCCACGAATCAATCAGACCTCAAAATGAACCACAAATCAACGGTTTCAGAAGATGGTCTGAGTGCGGTTTGTTTGTGGGTCTGTTTAGAGGGGTCTGAGTTCATTTGACGCATTCACAACTGCAAAAGAAACTATAACTGAGAAAAGTGTAAAAATATATTATATATATCACTGTGGTCGGAACAAAACCTCATATCTCCAAAATGGTAACTTTACAGGAGAAGGAAAAAACATACTTTACTTTGAATGTAAGTCAATGGAACCAGACCTTTTTTCCAAGTCATTTTGGGTCATTTCTTTTGTTCCATTCTTCATGAAATTTACACACAATTTAAAGGGCAACAGTCATTTTCAAATTATGGATTAGGATCAATGATCCTGTTGTTTCCAGTTTCCGTACCATCTTCTGAATAACACTAAATTCACTCTGGCATCACTTAAACGTATTAGTGACCAAATAGGTTCGCACCATGAAGATGCGCTGCTCAATACTGTACACCACTATCCTGATGAGAAGTCGAGTGACTGAGTGAAGGGGTACGGGGGTATGTACCTGGAAGTTGCAAATGGAGGTTAAACGTGGCGACAGCCGTCTCGGCGCCTACCTCATCGCTCTGACGCGGGGTCATCCTGGCTTGTTTGAAGCTCCATATACTGAGGAGCTCATTGCATGTTGTTTCGTTCAGATTGCTTCGTCCTAGTGAGAGT